AAAAAAAGCATGATAGGACTTCAAAACAAGATGATATTAAATCAGCACTGGCTATTACAAAGTCTTGTTTTCTTCAAAATAACTGTTCATACCCTCATAGATAATAAAATCAAACAACCCAGGATAAAACCACTCCAGCTAATGAATGGAAGCATTATAAGGCGTCAAAGCAATGTAATGGGGAATCATGATTACCACAAACTTTTATATACTTGCACCATTTCTTACACTAGGGAGACTATATGGTATTTATACATGAGAGTTTGATTTACTTTACTTATGAGTATGGTCTCAAGCTGCATGCATTTATTTATAAATATCTTGATGTGATCATTCTTTATAGCTGAGTAGTACTCCAGTGTGTTGAGCTTTTGGTGGAACATAGGGAGTGCCTTCCTTATTTGTAAGTCTTCTACAGTTATGTGCCACACTGGAGCAAATTCACTTGTCAGGCCTTTTGTGCCTCCTCAGCAATGAACCACCAACCTCTCCATCAAAGCTCCGAGTTCACTTCCTTGAAAAAGAAGGTGCCGGAACCTAGCTAATGACAATGCTGGTGCTGATGAAGTGAAAATTGATTTTAAAATCTAAATCTCTGTACACCATTTAATCAATTTCTAATGCAGTTTTATAAAGTGGATGGAGCAAAACTGTACTGAGTTAGTTTGAGGTTCCACGTCTATAACTTCTGTGGCAATGCAAGAGATTTTATGAATCTTGTGTAGTATTGTTGTTATTTTATTTCACTTTGGCCAGGTGGGTTACCCTGCAGCAGAACTTCTGCACCTGTGCACCTGTGCAAGTACACGCAGGCCTGGGCGCATTGCCTGATGGGACCTGGGAGAAGGGGAACTCTTGTACCTGTTGACAACCTGCAAAGCCTTGATTCTAACTTGCCACAATACTATTTTCTGGCGTCATATTCTTAGAAAAGCTAAGTGATGCTGCGAAGTACAGAGAAGGTTTACCAAGCTTGGCCAAAGAATGGACAAGAATTTGTATCCATTTGCTAATTTTGTTTTATTTTTCGTTAGTGCATGTTTATCACAGTACACAAAACCACGTACATTACAGGCAGTTAGTATGTGCACGTCACTCTTCTCAACTGTTGCTTTTCTCTGTCCCTTTGTCCCTTACCACCCCAATTTCTCCCTACTTCCTCCATATCTTGGCCTCTCCCCTCACAAAGTTCTATTTCCACTTTTTTTTTCAGTTCCTTTTCCCTCCCCCTTTCTTACTCTGGCTCCCCTCTCACCATCTCTTGTTCCCCTTCTATTCGAAGACAGATCTCCTTACTTTCTATTAGCTGTCTTTTAGTCTTCTCTTTACTTATCTTTTGGGTTTCTTATATAAGAAAATCCAAAAACTATCAAGCTTGGGTGTCTGATTTATTTCACCTAACATTACAGTCTCAAGGTGCATCCATTTACCTATGAATGCCTCAGATTTATTCTTTACAGCAGATTAACACTCCATTATATGCAAATACCGCATTCTCTTTATCCATCCACCTGTAGAAGGAAAATACAGGTAATTTTCAAGGTACAATAAATTGTACATCTTTAAGGATGGATAAAGTAGACAATTCGTAGAAATGCATATGGCTAATGCTGAAAACTGTTCAATATTATTGAAATATTAAAGAAATGCGAGATGCCATCTTACACCAGAAAGAATGGCTGTCTTCAAGAAATCAAATAATAATAAATGCTGGCAAGGCTGCGGGGAAAAGAACCCTTCCACATTGATGGTGTGAATGCAATCAAAGATAACCACTATGGAAATCAGTGTTGAGCTTCGCCAAAAAAAGTAAAGCTAGAAATTACATTCAATACACCTATTGCCTTTTGGGAGTTGATGTTTTAAAGACTTTTCAAAATCCTCAAATTTGTGAATATCAGTATAGTATAAGTATAGTATATGCAACTGAGTATGAATGAAAAATTAAGCTCTTATTCAATGGAGGACTAAAGACAGTTACAAAGCTAATACAATGAATTCTATCTGAAAATCCAATAAAACATTAAAATAAATCTCTCTCTTTCCATCTACACACACACACACACACACACCACAATTTCATAAAGAGCTAATCTCAGTATCAAATAGAACATTTTACTCCTGAATTTATCCCAATCTTTTTCCTTTTTTGTTGCTGACATTTTTTCAAGTTTATCGCTTTTATCTCTTATTTTTCTTTTTTGTTCCCAAAATTAATAGTCTGCTTTCTTTTTCACACCCTTTGCCCATGCACAAAAGTTCTATCACTACGTAAGTTATTTTGTATAGGATGCATACTAGAACACTCTTGACAAGGAGGTATTAATTGGTCAGCAATATTAGAATGATTCCTTTCTGCATGCACTTCTGTAGGGGTTAAATTCAAAACTATGTCTCAAAAATTAAATGTGTCATGGTCCTCTACATACACTAAAAGTGTTTAAGTGGTAAATCCTGATTATATATATATATATATATATATATATATATATATACTGTACTGAATTTTCTTAAAGGTAACACTTCACCTATGTGTGAAAGCAGAGATACTATCTGTTGTGTTGCCTGGAGATAGTAGGATAAACACTGTGTTTATAAAGAAAATTTAGAAACTTTTCCTTTTATATGTTACTGAATTCACTAATAGGATAATCAAATAAGTGTCCTCCGGGGATGAAATGAAAGAACATTCCATATGTCAATCTATTTATCTTGCCAGTCCAACTCTGATCACATTCTACCCTTCTCTATCTACAGATTTTTTTATACAGGTCAAATTACCTCCTATTTATTGTATCTTTTTACTGGCAGGAGGTAGTCCTCTGATTCAACAATTGGACTGTCATTATCCCCCTCCTCTTTGACATCATCTCTTCAGACACCACAGAAAAGGCAATTTTGATTGATCTTACAGAGGACAAAGCATATACACGGGTTGCATGTAGACCACCAAGGAACCACATTGCTCTTTTATGTGTGGGTATAAAACTGCCAAAAGTTTTACTTATTTGATGCAATTTTCAAACTAAAGACAATGGAAAGGTAATGTGTTAACTTACACTCATGCTGTTGATTTTGAGTAAAATCAAACACAAAAAGTTTTGCATCTAACTTTTATTAATTTCTAGAAAATTTTTATATTCCAGAAGCATCAATAACTCTTTGCTGTCTAGGATTTCTAGGCACCATATAATGCCTACCACAATTGCTAAAGTAGTTAATGATTTGCAAAATATTTGTGTGCTTAAAATCCATCACAGACTTTTTAAGATTATGTCTAATAGCCTCCTGTTTACAAACCAAGTATTTATCTTTGCTCATTTTAACACAGAAACCATAAGTAATAGATCTTGTCAGGGTCCCTATCTCTAATGTGAAAATAGTTACAATTCATTACTTAGTGAATCAGGAAATTATTAACCATTAATAAAACATGTCATGTGTTTAGTGGACCACTCAGATGAATATTGTTTTCGTAGCTTTGCACCATGTAATAACAGTATTTAGAGATCTTAATTGTATAATCCCAACTGTCTCAACCTCTGAGTAGAACACAAATTGGAATCTAGGTGTATTTTGAAGCAAAGTCAATTGCCCTACTATTTTTTCATATAATGTTTGGTCAGTTACTTATTTGTATCATTTTTGATACCAAAAGAAAATTTGTCACATGTCTCACTTGTGAGAAAAAAATCCCCCAAAATTCAGTCCTTTTCTACCTCTCCTCATTACAAAACTAATTACAGTTTTGTCAAACAGATTGCCTACTTGTAGGATGAAAATAATGAGGCGTTCTTTGCCTTGAAAAAGATCATGCATCCTTACAGTCTAATACATCTTGATCCACCTTCCCACCCCTGTCATCCCAGGGTCACATTTCCAGGGCATCCTTGTCCCTTTATGGTAACATTGGAGAAGGAACCACTTTCTCATGGCACAAAGGTGGCCACTGTCCACTTTAGAGTATTTTTTGAATAAACATTATGAGAATAAAAGAAAAGGATCCCACCAACCCTCTTATTCCTTCTCCACTTCCTTCCTAACTTTGGATGTGGAGCACTTAATCAGCATCTGTTTTGTCCTAGTCAGTAAATGCCAAGGGTGATGAGTAGAGAACAGAGAAGAGTGAAGGTGAAAACTAGGGCCAAGCCAACCACAAGCACATGTCAGGCCTCAGGCCCCACCTCAAGCACATTCTAATCTGCTCGGAACAGAAACAGAACAGAAATGTCACACACTGCGTGGCCTTAAACAAGAGAAATTTATTTTCTCACACTTCCAACAGCTGGAAGAATAACACGGTTTCTCCTGAGGCATCTCTTCTTGTAGTCCTGTGTGTGTGTTCACCTGACCTTTCCTCTGGGTGTGAATTCCTGGAGTCCTTGCCCTGTTATAAGATCACCATCTTACTGCATTAGGGCTCCACCTTCGTGAGCTTATTTAACCTCAATTAGCTCGTTAGAGTCCCTGCTCAATGCAGTATCAGCTTGGTTAGGATTTCAACATAAGAATCTGAGGGGAACACATTTCAGGTACCCTGGTCAGAGGCTCAGATCCCGAGCCTGCTGCTTCCTGAGGTCACAACGCTGGTTCATTTTCTCATCCACAGTGTTCTGCTCCCTGGCCTGCAAAACAGGGCCAATAAAAGTACCTGCCTCCTGTGGGTGATGAACATCCATGGAATTGGCAAGTTGAAATGAGAACCTGTCTATCGGTGGTAGATGAATTTTTTAAACATGGTTTTATCCTTCATTCTTCTCTCCATACAGCATTACATTAAAATAAAATGTAAGATAAAAGATGAAGGGAATAGAATACTTTGAGGAGTGTTAGTATACACTAATTTTTCTTAATTGTAATACTGTATACTATATAATTAATTGTTATATAATGATTAATTAACAGTAGACCCAACACAGAGGAAAACACTTTAGATTCCTGAATGTCTAGGCTGATTCACGCATTCTGTACATCTTTATACCACACTGGGTCATACATCAGGAATTAACCCTGCACTGGGAGACCGTGAAGAGGAGAGCTTGCCATTCTTGGGAAGTTTAAGTTTAATCACTTGTTTCAGAAATTGGGTAAAATAAGACACTACAAATAGGAAAAAATAAATAAGCCCTGTTACATCGTACAACCAATGACGTTAGTTTTCCTGTGGGCTGAAAAGTACTTTCAGGCAGTACTAACTCTAAGGTCTGTGAAAGTGGCACCCTCAGGAGCCCCCTCCCCGCCCCCCATCCCCTTTGAAATGCAGCTGGATTTTGCCTGATCCTGAGCCCCTGCCCGCCCGCTGCAATGAACTCCTCCAGGACCCGAGGAGGAGGAGGGAGCTCTGCCCACTGGGCCGGGCCAGTACCGCGAGCCCCAGAGCTTGATGCCCCGCGCAGGTAGCGCCAGTCGCTAGTTTGCAAAGCGCAGGTCGGGTCTCCACACCACCGGCCGGGGTGCTGATGCCCGAGTCACTTTGCTGTGGCTGGGTGTCCCCCTCCCGACCCACGTCACCTGTTTGACAGCCTCGCGCCAAATCAGAAGGCAGCGCTTGCCAGGAGCCCCGCGCGTCACCCCGAGCTCCTGCAGATTAGAACTCGCCTCTCCTGGCTCCTCCCTTCAGCCCATTTAAATCTCCCACTGCCTTTAGGAAAAAGTTACCCGGGCTCTGTCTCTGCATTGCTTTTTCCACCGCAAGATGGTAAGTGAGGACCTGACGCGGGCCGCTCGCAGGCAAGCGCGGAGCTCTGAATCCTCTGCGCTCGGGGTGTAGGCCGGTTCAGAGCCTGACTGCCTTTGCTGCCTGACATGGAAACCGGGCTTCTCGGGGCGCCTCCTCCTTGCTCTCCCTCGGGCGCTGTTTCTCTAATACACGCACTCTCCATTTTCTCCACACTTCCTCTGCACCTGCACCCACTCTTCATTCCAGCTCTTCCTCCAGATTATTCACGTATTTGCAAACACTTGGACTTGAACGGCTTTCAGTGTGTTTGGGTTTATTTTCCTCTCAGGTGTCAATTGCATAATAGCTTAGGGCTGACTCCAATAATAACCTCACAGGAGAGTCTGTAAACAGGCTTTTAGAGTAAAAGAAAAATAGTTCTTGATAAAGGTTTGACTGGATTCCTTGAGTCTGAGCTCCTCCTGCTTCGCTTGCTTCAAAGCTTTTTTCTCCCTAAATTTAACTCTGAGAACATTAGCAAAATGTGACTTTTCAATGTTTTTTCTTATTATTATTTGTTTTCTATTTATGTTAGGCCCAAGGAAGTTCTCAAGTAGACAAAAGACTTCTAAGTGATCAAAAAAGTATCTGCCCAATCCTAAATTAAATGGCTGTTTCCTGGTTAAACATTGACCAATCATTAAGAAAGGAACACTGTATAAATTAACCCAGGAAGGCTGCGCCCCTGGCCCTGTTTGGAAAATGGGAAGCATTGTCTGGGATGGGAAGAGTGGAGGGCAGGAGGCAGCCACCCAATCAGAGCACAGCCAGGCATTTGGTGGGGACAGAATAATTGTGTAAAGCCTTGGAGTTGGGAAGGTGGAGAGAGTTTTACCTTCTTTACCCTTTGAGGAGATGTTTACCTGAAGTGATACTGCACTTCCATGGTTAGAATGGAAGGGAAATTTATTTAGTATCTGTGGGATATATATATATATATATATATATATATATATATATATATGCACTCATAAGCATCATAAGAACAAGCAACAAAATGTTACATTGGAGGGAAGGGGATGAAAGAATAAGATAAGGATGTGATTTGGCGATCAAACTAAGAAGTTAATTTATATGACGTGGTGTCCTGTCCATTTCATCCTCTGATACCTGGATTCTTTGTCAATTAAGATATTTGCTAGAGAAGACCCAATAGTTCTTACATCTTTGAATCATTAATCAGAATTCTTTCTGGTTCACTGCTGAGTAGCTTATTAGATAAGTTAGAAGTTGCAACAGGAAATACCTGTTACCTACCAATAACCAGTACTTGTCTGCTCTTTCCTCAAAAGGCCCAAAGAAAGTACTGGGTAAACATGGAGGCGAATCTCTGTTAGTACCATTAAGCGATTTAAATTTGATCTAGATCTACACCAAACACCTTCACTGCTTTTTGGCTCACTGCGTGTAATTTTTGTGTGTTTTTCCCACCCTATTCCCCTTCAAACCCCATCACTCCTCTCCTGGACCCTTCCTCCACTTCTTATATTGAATTCCACAGAACACCATTCTGCCTTGTCCAGACCAGTATCTTTCAGGAGGCCAGAACTATAACTGCCCGTATTCCGCTGCAACATCAGAGTCTAGTGTTGATGTTTCCACGGAGACTTGGGTCTCTTTCTGGGCTGCTGGTCTCCTGGACAACAGTGATCCCCAACAAGCACCACAGAAACAGGGTAAGTTCTGCTTCTCTACAATCCTGATGGACCTAGAGCGCTATTCTAGACCCATGGCTGCAAAGCCCAAGGGCCGTGACTCTATAGAAAAGGAACTTGAGAAATTTTGTGCCTCCAGCATTCTTTCAATTTGAGGCATGAAGCTTGATACTTTTTACTTGCCAAATAGTGAAAATGGGATTATTCCTTTCACTCACTGGACTCTGAATAGTTTTTAAAAGTTCCTGATTTACTGAGAAAATTTGATGTGGTTGAAAGTTTTAGGAAGAACATTCCAGTAAGTTACGTTTGCCACTTACTAATTCCAAGATGCCAGTTGGAACTTTTCTTTCAGAATTCAACAAGATTTTCCTGAGTTTGGAAAAAAGCAAGAGTGAAAAACTTAATCTTTTATTTCACAGAGGAAATTCTATGGAAACATTTATTTTGAACCGGGACCTTAGTGGCGAGTCCTTATGAATATTAAGGGAATTGCATGACTCTCAAATTTCTGGAAAAAGAATTACATCTCACAGACAGCTCAGAATTAAATATTTTCATTCCTGTTGTCCAATATGCCACATGATTTGGGGGGAGGGATTAAGACAAACCACAAACAAAAGAATCTGAAAGATCATTATATGTCACAGTTGTAGAGTTTTAATGCTATCATACAAGCAACAGCAAAAACAGAAGACTAATTGATTTGAAGCCAGGTTTAATCACACAATTATATTCCTGTTTCTTCAGTCATCATTTCTCTTAAGAAAAATACATTTCAGCGATAACAATTTCAGTAGAGCAGGATGAGAATTAGAATGACAGTAAAAGAGTGAACAAAATCAACTGATTCAGCATGACTAAACAATTGTGATTGACAATTATATTTTGCTGTCAACTATGGGAAAAAACCCTCTGCAGCTTCATAAAACTATACACACAGAAACAGCTGAAACATAAGGTATGGACATAGTTTTGAAATTTCCTTCAAGATCTTTAGAGAAGCAAAGTGATTATTTTAAAGTAGAAAGTCTTGCCCAATAGAATTCTGAATAAATAAGGTTCATCTAATTTAACAAGCTGGCAGACAGGGAAATGGGAGCACAGCTAGATAAGATTAATTGTGAAGCCAAACCCTATATCAGGAAGCTTTAAATCTTTAGAGAATGGAATATAAATTATAAAAATATATTGGAATCACAACATTTTCCGGTAGAGACAATAGTAGAGTCATATAGTTCCATCAGCAGGACTGAACACATCAGGGAAGACTGTGATCAGTTACCTCCTAAAACAGTCACCTCTATAGTGACCCTGGCATACAGTGGGTACATATCCTTCTGTCACCCAGCACTTGCTTGCCTATCCTGAAAGCTCTAAATATTTTGTTTTCCTGTGTGGAAGAAATAGCTATTTCAAGAAAAATAATTGAACCTTTTGGACTTTGGAGATCATCTAATGAATCTGTTGCACACAGATCAGCAGTGTGTGTTCTCTGCTATTCATTTTGTGTTTTCACACAGAACCATCCTGTGACTTGGGTTTCCCTGTTCTGGACTCCTGTTCATGGGAAGAAACTCAGCTTTCCTCGCAGCTCTTCCGAAACAAGCAGGTCTGTGTTACAGAGGACAGGGAGAATGTTCTCTGAATGTTCTCTCCTTAACTTCATGTTGCCTCTTCTCCTCTTTTAAGGTTCGCATTGACATAGGTTAGATTCAAAGTAAATGTCTATCTAAAGAGATCTAAAGATATATGAGCTTTGTCAGAGGAAAAAAATAGCAGTAACACTCTAAAACAGAAACCTGCAGTCAAACTGATTTTTCACATTTTAGCTATAAGTTTCCTTGAATCCTTCTTTCTCTCATTGATGAGACAGGAGTATTTAAGAGGAGGGTCACAAAGGGTTCTTGGAAAAACCAGTGACATACTGAATATCATGATGTTTTTAAGTGATGAACCTAAGTCATCACTGCAAGAAAAGATGATGCTCATAAAAGCATTTCTGAAGATTGCTTCACTTTCTATGCTGTATTTATTGTGGCTCCTGAAGAGTAATTTAATACAGTAGACATGTGGGCAGCCACAGCCTCTTCATCCCTTTAAATGCGTATGGAAGGGGTCTAACCTTTCTGAACACCTTTTCTATATTTAAACGCTTGCATTCAGCTTATTTCCCTTCATACCTACCTGACCGCTTTGTGGTTTCAACTTTGAAAGTCATTTAATCTCCTCAAACACTTTGTAATCAATGAAAAATTCAGAGCACAAAACTGAACAGTCATGTGGTAGAAGGGTGTAGATTTAATTTAGGTCTCTGTGAAAGAGGACTCCCTGAAATTCTGTTTGGAAAACAAACAGAATAATGGTGTTTAAGAGGGTTGAGGAGAAGGAGCATTACTATAAATTTACTAAGTCAACATAGTGGGGTGGCCTTCACCATCGTCTGCTTTTTACAGCTTCAAGATACTCTGATACAGAAGGAAGAGGAACTTGCTAGGCTGCACGAAGAGAATAATCACCTCAGACAGTACCTGAATTCTACTTTGGTTAAATGTCTCGAAGAGAAGGCCAAGGTGTGTTCACAATCTTTTTTCATGAGATCAAGGCAGAGATTTGAGAAAGGTGACCATTGACAAAAACAAAACAAGGCCAAACTTTGATTAAATGCAAGAAGTGTACTAAGCAATGCGTCTTGATGTATATTAATGCATCGATCATTTTTTTTCTTAAGAAAATATATGAGGCTCACAAGACAGTGTATGTATTATTCCTTGGAATGTCTAGATTGAGGCATCCAGCCAGGCACTGCAAAAAGAGTTCCTGAAGCAGCAAAACCTAATCCATGGAAGTACTGAGACCACAGATGTTGTTTATAAAAGGGAGAGTTATGTACATGAAATACTGGAGTAGAAATGGATATGAAAATGTCAGTTATTTGAGTTATCTATCTGACTTCAGATAAATCATTCTCAGTTAGGGCCTCTAAATGGATGTATACAGTGTATGTATAAATGGATGGGGCGTAAGATCTGCTTAGACTCTCTCTTGGTCTGAAAGGCTATTTATGAATCTGACTAGAGCCCAGATACACTACTTGACTGGCAGGTGTGTGAAGTTCCATTTCCTTTCATTTGCTATTTTCTTACACTTTTAAATGAATTATTTCCAACTTAAGGATGAATACCTCAACTATATTCTCCTTCGTTCTCTTTATTTTCTTCAGTTTTGCAAGTTTGTATGTGTGTGAGTGTGTGTTAGGATGGAACCCATGGTCTTTGCACTAAGCCTATTTTACTTTATTTTGAAACAGAGTCTTGCAAAATCAATCAGTTTTCCAATCTGGGATGAAGTTCACAATTTTTCTGCCTCAGCCTCCCAGAGTTTTGAAATTTGAAATTACAGGTGCACACAATAATGCCCAGCTGTTTTGCAAACTTCATATTATATATTTTCCATTGTATTATTATCAGTTTACTTACCAATTTTTACCTCATTTCTACTCAATCTATGTAACTTGATGTTTTTAATCTAAGTTGATATACTTACTAAACATAATAGTTCAGCAGAGATCTTAGATTTGATACCTTTGCAATCATTGTTTTTGATAAAAAGAATGTATGTTGTAGTTCTTAGCTTGTAGTCTTAATTTCTCCTCTTCCATGCATGAATCATTGTTAACTTATTAAGTGATGTTAATTAGATTGTATCTCTCTGGATCTCAGTTTTGTAAGAGTTAGAATCATGTAATAATATATCTCATGAGAATGCTTTGAAAGTTAATGAAATAAACCAGGCAACATTATAGGATGTTTAAATCAGAGTTTCTGCCTAGATTTAGATGGGTATGGTTTAAATCTGAGCTGAGCAATCCTTACCAGGTCCCCAAGCTATCAGTGCCCTGGTTTCCTGATTAATGGAGATTAGCAGCCACTACACACAAAGAGAGAATGCATCTGATCAATCCTTTAAACGCATAATAAATAATAGCATATTTACTTATGAATGATAATTCAGTAAATTATCATTGCCATTATCACCTTCAGCATAGCCATTTTCTTTCCTGAGGTGAAATGCTAAAGACAGTATCAACTGATTTTAGCTTTTCAAACTAGAGTAAAATATCTGAATTAAAGCCACTAGGTAATAAACTATCATCTTGCATGAATTTTAATTCACAGACAGTAAACCAATCATCTTTGCTTGTGCATGAAAAAATAAAATTATAATTTTCTGCAGCATTACGGTAGTCAGTAAATATTTGAGAAATGTGTAATTTTCAAATTTCACTCTTCTAGAAATTGCTTTCTTCAGATGAGTTCTCCAAAGTATGTGGGAAATTCAGAAAGGGGAAGAGAAATCCTAAAGAGCAAAGATACTCTCCTGCCGAGACTCCCCACGCCAAAAATGCCAAGAGGAATCTCTCTAGTGAGTTTGACAACTGTGCAGAACAACCCAGGCCCCCTGTGGATCCCTGGGTCCTCCAGATGCTTGGGTTGAAAGACTTTGACACTATCGATGATGCCAAATCAGCTAACTGCAGTGCCCTCTCTGCTCATCCCCAAGGAGTCACCAGAGCATATTCCCACTTTGTGGGTGAAGCGGTTGATTATGGAAATGTCGCCAGAGAGCATCTTCCCAATGACCACGAAGGTGAAGGAACAGCCTTGTTGGGTAGCACTGCCAGCCCCGGGGGAGAGCTTCCCTGCTTTCCTCAACTTTCACGTCCCCCAGGAAGGACCCAAATGCTTCCTTATCAGGACGTGGATGTGTCACCCAACAAAACCGAGATGGCTTTCTCCACATCCCTGAGCCCACACTGCAATGTGAAGACTCATTCTTTTCACCAGGGACAAGCTTTTGTGCGCAGAGACAAAGAGGGGGGCTGGAAGTTTACCTGGGTCCCCAAACAGTCCTACTGACCACCGTGCATCTCAGAGCACTGCCGTGAACTCTGCTTACAGAGTCTCCTCTTGCACTTGACTATGTGTGGAACACGGAAGCTATCACCCAGCCTCTTTCCTGCCATTTTAAAAGTTACTCTCACGTATCTACTTAAATCTGCAGGAAGTGTTTTTCAAGAATTTATAGGAAGCTTGCTCTTCTCTGACCTCAACTTGATTTATACACCAATAGCTGTGACTGACTGACCCCTTCTCTTTGCTTTATGTTTGAAACAGTAGTTTCCAATTATTGGCAGATTTAATGTAGTTTTAGTTCTGCTTTTCCAGTTATGGCCAGTTTAACAGCTTTCCTTCATTCTTCAAGTAGTTTAATGTTCATAGATCTCGTACTTTTCTTCCTCTCCAGTTTCTCTGTCTTTCTGAACACTGCCTTTAGAATGAGCCCTGATAGTGGTCAAGTACTTGCTGCAGAATGATCACAGAGCTGAGGTGGGGTAGGCGTAAGTGCCTGTCCATCACCACTGCAGGAGACATAATATGGGTGTGAGTGGCCCTAGGTCCAGTTCAAATAGTTGAATGTCCCATAGTGGCATGGGCAAAATACCTGTGAAAATAACTGTAACTCCACTAAAAAGCAGTATCATTGATACATTACAAGTTACTTTAAAAATGCCCCATTGTATATCAGCTTCTCCTGGCACCTGATTTTTTTTTTTTTATTTAATCAAAATGGCTCAAACAAGAACACTTTAGGAACAATGGGAACAAAGCGGGTCACCATTTTAATGGACATAGATGCCGGCTGCCCACTATTATTACTGGTAGCATAATCTAATGTGGTTCTGCATTATCTTATTCATTTGATCATCTATTCTTCATTTATCAGCTCACCTGAAATGTCTGTAGAACACCTCACTTATAAACCCTGTGCAGGGCACTGTGAGACCATGTGAGCGATTCATAGTCTGTGCCCACGCTTTTAAAACCGGGAGCCATTACTCTGCTCTTTGCCTTGAGAAAGCTACTTCCCTTGTATGAAAGCTCAGTTTTCCTAGATGAAATTGGCATTGAGATGAGATGATTGCTCACATTCTGTGAATGCAGGGGGGTCATATCAGTTTTTCTCTAAGGGAGGAATTCCTGGCTACCTTTCCCTTTCATTTTGATAAGAACTACAGATATTACATAGGGTGAACTTTCCATACAATTTTTTTGTAAAATGAGCCATTTGCAGTTAGCATTAGAGATCATTGCTCTTACTACAGCATTCATTTTCTGACAGGGGCCCATTTTCTAGGTTAGTTCAGTCTGTTTGAAAGTAGCTTGCATCTAGAAATAAATATATACAAATTATCAAGTAAGTGTGCATAGAATGAACACAACTATCGATCTCACGGGTTCTTCCCTTTCTAAATTTTTTCTCTTTTCGAATTTAAAAACGGTATTTTTAGTGTTCTTGCTGGTCCTTCTTTCACATCCCTTAAGCTTTTTTGCTGTTCCCAGGCAGAAATTACACATCAAAGTTGTACACCTACATTTTTTACATCACCTTAACTTAGTGATGAAGCTGACCATCTTGAAATACACTCCCACTTTTATTTTTCTTATTTATCCTCAATCACCTTGGACAGTTGGATTTCATATGTATGTTGTTTGGAATTCTAACAAAAGCATCTCTTTTACTTTTTATTTTTTAATTTTTTTTTTGCTGTTAATTGTTGCTTTACTTTGGTTGTATGAACAGAGCATCTATGTTAAAATATTGTTATGCTTGTCAATTGTCTTTATATTCCATGAAGGGGAATTCAAGATATAATTAATATCATTCTCTGGAATGTTTTAATGGCTTGGGAAAAGCCAATACCACATTCCATTTTCTCAGCACAAAATTAAGAGTGCCTTTTACAGTCTAAAGTTTGTGCCCTGAGTGGGTGAAATTTTTCTCTGTTTAGAGTAACAAATTTAAGAATTAGAATTGATTGTAGTATACTACACTAGGAATTGAGTAAACAATGTAACAATTTTGAGAGGATAATAATCAAGCTATAAAACAAAATCAGTTAATATGTTTATGTGGCATTTCAAATGCTACCTAGTTCTATGGGGATGTGTCCAGGTTTGGCTCAGCGCACTTGGTACATGAAACAAAGCCACATAAAATGTCATGCTCATGAGAGCTTTTAAGTGAAACTTGGTCTCAGTCTGCCTTATAGAAAATATAGAATGTTTGTGTGGCAAACTGACAACTTGCTCTGGTTATATCATAAAGCATAGAATATAAAAAAACAAGTACATATTCTTACAATCATGACTACACACATTTGGTATTTGTTTGAATTACATGTAGAAAGTTATTTTGCTGATATTTGAGAAATTAGAACTTTCTTTGAGTATCTGTTATACCATTTATGGCTTTATCATTCTTAATAAACTACAGTTAATAGAAAGCTAAAGTGGGAAATAAAAACTAAATGCTTCTTTGAGTATGATAAATATTTTTATATTGTGCATAACATTTGCTAATAGTAGATCTTCTCTATAACATAATCTTATTTATTTGTACTTCTTTTGTATTATATATATGGTCACAATAGTGATATCTTCATGTGTCTTTTCCCTTTAATGAGACTTCCGGTTATTAGGTTGCTTTAGGAGTCAGGTACCTCAGGAGTGTAGCGATCCCTTTCTTCACCACACATAAAAATTAGAAGACAGTGTCAATTTTTAAAATTTCATTTCCAGTGTCCTCGGACCACATGACAATAAATCACTCTTGCATCTCACTGGTATGTCAAAAATAAGAACAATTGAAAGCTTCAACTATGAACATGACATTTAATGCATGGGATTACTTAATACTCCAGTGATACTAAACTATGATTGTGAAACATTTGAGGAAAATAAAATACATGTATTAATAAAAGCATTGCTGAACTTAATCTAATTAAAGAAAAAAGAATTTTTGTCACCTGTGACAAATGGATTCTACAACAAAGCATATCTATGTATCACAGGTACATAAGAAATTATAGTTAGTACGCCTAATTATAACTTTAATATGTGTTACTTCCTGCCTGTGAAGTTAGAACATACATGTATATATTGTTTCAATTTACCAAAAAAGTTACAAAAGATTAAATAGTAAATGTCTCCTTTTTTGTTTTTATATTAGATCAAACAGATTTGGCCTGCTATCTATAACTATATGGTATAATTATATATTCCTTAATGCATTTTCATATTTTCTCTTCATTTTTGTTACATGAGCACAAATGTTCATTCTTATACTGGATATTTTGCAAATACAAAGTATAATTTAATATTTAAATGATATGATTTATTTGTGATTTGTAATATTTCTAATTATATGAGTCAATTTTGTAATGAGTTTATGACTAATAAAGAAGTGACAAAATGTATTTAATCCTCTGGGTGGCCTTTATTTTAGAAGCACTTTTCGGTGAATGGAGCAATGGACAAGTTTTCTGTATTTATTTATGCCATAATATTATGTCATAGAACATATATTTTCAAATGTGTGAAGCAGTAGCATGATTAATAACTGAACCACTTGTATTCAATAGAGATAGCCTTGCACTGGGGGTCTATTGATATTTAAAAACTAAGTACATGTTAAAACCAAACTATAGATGAGAGAAGTATAAACATGCTTAACCAAGAGCAAGCAACTATTCTGTGGTCATAAATGAACAGTCTTTGTTTCAGTAGGGCTGAATCTATGTGCTCAAGGCAAGTTGTCAGAATCTGGTTTAGGATTTTATGCGAGGCTATGTTAGGGTGGAATCTTAAACTTTGGTATTCACCTCAAAAAACACATGGCAGAAATCAGGAAGGAGAAACCCTGAGTAGCAAGGCAGGTTGCATCACATAGAATAACTCATCTTGTGACACTGTCTTTCCCCTTTGTAACCCAAGCCCAAATGAGGAAAAGTGGAGGTTAAATGTTGCCTTTCTGCACGGAGGGTTATGAACAGATGAGGATGTGTGCATCTGAACATCATGCACGGGATTTCTCTGAGACCACTATCTGAGCCATATATCCAAAAGGGAAAGAGTAATGTCAAAAGAAAATTGTGTGCAACTTGCAAATAAGCCCAATAACCCTATCAACATGGAGACTCTTTTGTTAATAATCAAAGATGACTAAGACTTTATTTAATTTTTACAAGGACATTTGAGGATGTATCTAAGAATAAACTTAAAACTCCACACATTCTAACTAACCTTTGAATCTAGATAAAGTCTATGTAGATTATTGAAAACATTTTTTCAGACTAAGTTAGGTACTTTGATTTTCATTTGATAGAGAAAAAAATTGGTTCTGAGTTTCATGTATGTCTCGTAATAATAAGTAACTAATGTCCAAAAATTTTCCTCTCTCATTTTAGGTCTAATGTTCTCTCTACTATTACACATAGCAACCAATTTTGGGACTAATAAATATATTCTCAGTCCACTGGCTCTTATCGACTATTCCAGGTCTCAGACACACAGCTTCTGAAAGTGTGGAGAGGCCCTGGAATCTTCATGTTACTTTCTGCAGGGGTTTATGTAAAGGCTCAACACTGCAATGAGACTGCTAACAAAGATGGTTCATAACAGACATAATCCTTTCATGCATTCTGTTCTATTACTGGAGCAGAAAATAATATTGGGACATTGTCTCAGCTACTGTTCTTACTGTTGTGACAAAACACTACACACCCCAAATTAAAGGCAGAAAAGTTTATTTGGCAGTTTGTAGAGGTTTAAGTTCTCAGTTGGCTGACTCCAAGGCAGGGTGGCATAGCAGGGGACGAGCAGTTCATGGCAAGCAGAAGGCAGCAAACAGCAAGAGACAAGTGCGAGCAACAACCCTCTTGTCCCTTATATCTTGTCCAGTCTATCCACCCTTAGGAGAGCCTTCACATCTATGGTGGGGCACCCTTAATCTTACCCAGAACTTTGTCAAGCCAGTCAGTAGACTAATATAGTAATCACACACACTTGATCACACATCACACACTCCGGGTCCAGCCACCTCTGAAAAGTCCCACCTATGACTGTATGAGGTTTTGGGGGGACATCTAGACACAAGCCATAACAAACATAGCAGAAGTTTTTCTCCTCATATCCATGTTCCTTGAATTTTTCTAGGCAACAACACAACCACCACAACAAAAATGTAATCCCTGCTAAATTTTTTTTTTTAAAAATCCAACTTTTATCATATATGGGTTAATCCTTTGTCATTTGGAAAGAGAAAAATGTGTGCATGGAATTCCACTTCCATAAATTTAGATTAAGGAGAGTAGGGGGGCAAAACATCAAAATCCAATGACAATGTATGGTGGCACAAACCAGTAATCCCAGCACCAGGTGACACTGACTCAGGACCATCTCAACTTTAAATCAGTCCAGGCATCTTAGTTACCTAGAGAAAAAAAATAAGAAAGAGCAGGGAATGAATCTCAGTATGAACATTAACCTTGTATCTTTGGTACCACAAAGACAAACAAGAACAGCATCATGAGCAAAACCATTAATATATTTCTAAATAAAAAAGAGATAAAAGGGACCAAGTCTCTATCCCAATTACTGTTGCAAATACTAAAGCCTAAATTAGAACTTTCCATAAGTGAATGTGAATAATCGTATTTGTACTTTTCTAATATAGTGGGAGCAGTGTATCCTTTATGTTTGCAAATCATTGGTTAAATGATACCCTTCAGGGACCCAGCAGGTGTTTTGGGGGGTTGTTTTTTGTTTTTTTTCCCCCATCTCTTTATGCCAGGTTTGTAATCTGAAATAATAAGGTGTAGAAAAGGTGTTTCTAGTTCATTTCTCATTTAAAAAGTATCTTTAAAACTAAATGGCTAGCCCCTCTGGGATGCTCCCAGGTATCTGGGGAGCTTTCAGAAGGCATGGTTCCCTCAGGACCTTCTGGTAACAGTGAATCTGAAAGCAACAGAAGCTGTTTAATGAATGTGTTGCAAGAAGTCAGGATCCCCATCCCTTATAATCAGACAAAATACACCCTGCCTTTCATTTTGGTCTCCTGAGATTTACCTCCTCCCAGAAGCAGCAGGGGAGGCACCCTCCATGCCTGCACCACAGGGAGTCACTAGGTGGAATTAGGAAGAAGCATCTGCACAGGATCACCCTCTGTGTTCACTGAGCATGTCAGCCCCATTGCGGTTGGAGCACCATACTGACAGAGACAGCCTTCTCTCTCCTTGATTTTAAGGATCATGTCAAGTCTCCTTTATTCAATCCTGTTGTCCTCACTCCAAATTTATGCAATAACTTAACTAACATGAGGCTTTATTTGAAGTGGCAGAGGAGGAATTAGATATTTTGAGTCATCCTGTTCTCAACAATGAAAGCAAAAGGGGTTGGGGCTATAGACCGGCCCTCTGATGGATGAAAATAACTTTCTTCCAATGACCTTGGATACAGGCTTCTAGAAAATAGCTTCATATTTATCTCTGGCAACTGTTAGTATTTACTCACATCAGTAGATCAGACTACAGACACAGATTATCACTCCCTTGCCTCATAGAATAGTGATAGTAAGAATAAACTCTGTAGTTGAAAAATGGGTATCTAAGTTAATAGCTATACAACGTGAAACATGATCTTTACCAATTTCAGTAGATTAACCTATAAGAGGATTATTTTTAAAGGCTTGCCTTGCCTATCTTACAATACTGTAAGGAATTTTTTGTCCCTCAGGACCTGCACATCAAGCTACATTCCCAGCCCTTTTGAAAATGTTGAGACAGCATTTTACTAAGTTGCTCAGTTGCAGAGGTTGGGCTGAAACATGTGATCCTTTACCTGATACCCCTGCACACTGCTGGAGTCACAAGCGTGCATGACCACACCCAGGTATATAATCTTATGTATATGCCCATATGTGGAGTTGCTGTCACTTATCCTTAACTTTCCTGCAGGGTAGAAATGCTATTTGTATTTGCATTCTCAAGTAAAAAGCTTTATACTTCATGAAATGCAACATTTGCAAATCAGCTACAGACACTTCTGCTGATTCAATACAATGAATGTTCACTATTTTTCTATTACATTCAAAATTTGATTTGGGGACTATGGCCCATATTTTTAAAGTTTGTGAGTAGAGAAAAACTAAGAAGGATTCAGAATTCATTAAAGGCATGATATTGTAGACATTTATCAGATATACAGTTAGAATTGTAATAAGTGTATTACACATATATTAGTATATTACAAGTATATTACACGTCGATAGGAGGGGAAAAAAGAAGAAAAAGTAAGCAGGGCAAACTGTGGGGCCTATTCTTAGAAAGGTGACTCATCTAACTGGCTGCAGAATAAGAAGAAAATACAATTGTAGAGTACCTGGACTCCTAACAGTCACATCCTCTGAGCTGAAGGAATTCCAGGGGTTAGATCAACACTGGATATCTCTGGTTTGGGGAATCCTAACTCCCCCTTACTCCACCCATTTCCCAGGTCATATGTACAGGCATCGAGAGACTCCAGAGTAGAAATCTGAAGGTGTGCAGCGAAGCTGAGCTTAGGGGTTGAAGTGATCATCACAAAGATTTGTGGACCTTTCTCAGAAGTCTAGGAGGATGCTACAATCATACTCCACAGGGAGAATAATCCTGCAATTTATTGCCCAAAATATGATAGTTTTAGAGTGACAAGTAATAAACTGGAATGAATACTAGAAGAAAATATGATTCTAGGTTACTACATCCAGCCAAGATATATGTCCACAGCATACTGAAGAACTTACTGGATGTCGACCATCTCATCCAGTCCTGATACCCAGGAAAACAGCAGTTTTTCAAATAAGGAAAAAGTAAACTTCACCCAGTTAAGTAGATGTGCACTCAAGGAGCAGAAAGAGAAGCAGAAGCCATAACAATAGGCCTTCTGCCTTCTCGAAAATCCACTGGGGGATGAGGATCAGCTGTAAGACTGTCTAATTAATTAAAATGTTAATTTTTAAAACTCAACTGAACTCAGGTTCCTTGACAAAGGTAATTGGTTGCTTATGATATTTACTCTAAAATGAGAGTGATAATCCAGCAGAACAAAGTCGAAATCAGCCCAAGGAAAAAAATAAAGGCAGTTCATCCCAC